GGAAACACCGACTGACATATATTTTATTGATGATGATGATGGCACACGAACAGAGTAACGGCTACTTGTTTCATCAAAACAAACACACACACACACACCAAAAATTGCTATATTTAAAATCAATTTTAGTTTTTGGTTATTGCTGCTGTTGTCCGGTAAAGATCATGATTATATTTCCATGATGACAACAATGAGAATATGAATAATAAATTGGAAAGAAATAATAGATTCAAGATTCTGGAATAATTTCTTGGTTGATTTTGTTTTGATTTTACATTCTGTTGTACGAATTCTAGTAAATGACAATATTGTTTACAATTTTTTTTTCTTCATTTCATTTCAATTTTTTTTCATGCTTCTTGCAATTTTATCGAATAAACAAACCAAAAAAAAATGAAATACGATCAATTTATGCTATGCGCAGTTTCTTAATTTAACTTTGTTGGTTCTTGTTTCATTGAAACATTTCATAACAATAACAACAAAAAAAAGGAAACCAGAAATGAATACCACTATTTGATTTGAAGTGTAACAATGAAAAAAAAGATCTATATAATAAACACGAGAAGCGAAGCTTCTCGAGTGTGGTGCACAAAAAAGTGTCGGGCAATAGAAATGTGTTAGGAAATTTTTAATACACAAATGTGATAGAAAGGGTCTGCAGAAAAAGTCAATGTGCACGACATCGTGCGCANACAAATAAATAATTGGATCGAATCCCAAAAGAACAAAACTTCAGCCAAAGATTTGGGCGATGGGCGGCGTAGCCGCTCATCTGCCAGAATCTACGGGCTGAAGCAAGTGTGCGTGCTGCTGGCCGAAGGCCGGCAACACACACTTGTTCTATATAATATTATAGCAAAATGAATTATATAGGAATTTCAACGACGGATAATTTTCAATTATTTAACAAATACATGCGTATAATGTATACATTTGACAATTTTATTCATATATACACCCAATACAATACAATTATACGATATATATTCAAGCAATTAAAAGAGTAAATTTAGAAACGCAAAAAAAAAATTTGCATAAAAGCATATACAAAACACACATAGCAACACATTAAAAACAACCAGACATGATCATAATATGACGTAAATGATCGAAAAAAAATTATCCATAAAGAAAGAAAAAAAGTTGGGAAATATAAAACGCAAACCAGAATCGTACCAGAAAAATTTGGCAAAAATATTTTATAAATAAAGATTTGAAATGAAAATTTGAAATTACCATTGATAATCAACAGGTTGAATAATTTTTTGAGGATGAAATCGTGGAAAAGTTTTTCATTTTTCAAAAAACAACCGCTAATATATCGTCAACAGAAAATTAAATATTCTGCAGAATGGACATTGATTGATTCCCATTCCAATTGATAATGTTGATTTTGGATTTTATCATATAACAAAAATTGATTTCAAAATCACTAAGCAAAATGATCAATCATCGGTAATGTATCTTGCAATGATCTTGGATGAAAAATGATTTTTGATTTTCATTTTGTTTTCTTTGTAAATAATGCTGACAATAAACAATATGAAATAAAATTTCACATTTTTTTTTGTCATTGTCATCCTCATCATTATTGTTGTCAAAGATCATTATCCTCTACATCATCATTTAGTTCAATGTACGTTTTTGATTCTTTCGATTCAGAACAAATCGAAAATAAAATAAAGAAAAAGAAGAAATAACTTTCAATCATTCATATGGCTTGCGTTCAGTCAATTTGTCAAAGATGAGAAAAACAAAAATTTATGATTTGTTTTTCTCTTTTTCTCTTATCGATTCTTATCAGACTGAATCCATAGAATAGAATTCCTATAGATCAGATTTGGATGCCATCGACCTGTTATTACAGGGTGCTTCAAAAAGTCATCATCTCTTTTTGTATAGAATATAATACGGAAAAAAATGATTAATCAACTTTTCCAACATCCTGTAAATTAATTGATTGTTTTCCATTTGAATGGATTTCTATTTGTTTTCTATGATAAATCAATATTTTTTCCATATTTAATGATCACTGATCAATCTAAACAGTCAAATAAAAAAAGACTAAAATAATTGAAATGGTCCGTCTTTTTGGGAAGACACATTATACCGAAATAAATTTCCGGCTGTCATTTATCGTCCATTTAGTGAAAATATTGAAATTGGATATATCAAAAATTTGTATTCGTGAGCAAAAACAAACATACACAAAAACAAAATTCTTTTACAAAACCCATAAATCATTTATTGAGTTATATTTCCATTTCATATAGAAATCATAATATTTTTATCCATAGTTGTTTGTGATGGATATATATCGATGAATGTAAAACAAAAAAATTATTTGTCAAATTTTGTCAACATCATTAACATCAACAATATTATTGTTGTTAACATCGGCCAACATGATTGACAACATATGTTATTAACCAAGAATCCGTGATGAAGGGTTGAATAACCGGGAAAATAGAGTTTTTCGGAATTTTTTCCGAATGACAACAAATTTTCAATGTTTTTTCTTTTGCAAATGAAAAAAATTATTATTATTTTTTGTTCGAGGAAAAATAAACGTATTTCCTTTTTGTTTTGTTTTTTGTTTTTTCCCATTAATAATGATAATAATAAATATAGTTACCATTATTGTTTTCCAAATGATTCATCATCATTATCATTATGAATTGTTCTGTTACGTGAGTACGATTATATTCTATGCAAAATCATCTAAATTTGGAGAAACGTCCTAAAAAAATATCGTCATGGCAATTGATCATCAATTACAACAACAACAACAACAAAAGCAACAGCAGCGAAAAAATTCATTTACATGAATTATTACTTTGGTTTAGGAACTTCAAATTTGGAACATGAAGAAGAAAAAATTGACTAACTAAATTTCATTTATATTTTAAAAAAATGAGGCACAATTTCATTGCTTCGTTTGTAGTTGAAATTTGAAACCAATTGATTTTTTTCTACAGGAAATTTCAACTTGAATTTTTTTAAAAATTTAAAAATGATTGCACTTACACACGTTTACAGTGACAAATCGAAAAAAATCAATCAAAAATAAACATTTAATAAATGGTCAATCATTGAATGATTGCAGATTTTTTCCATTTATTGTTATATTGTCAATATGGATCCTTGATTTGTTTATCAATTCAAATAATACAAGAATTAATCTATTATGATTATTGCCATATTAACAATTTGTTAGCCAACAAACAATTCGATAAATATTTCATAAAAATTATCCATTAAAAACTAATGATAAATAATCCTTGAAATAAATCAAGAAAAGATAGAAAAAAAGACAATTTTGACCCTTTTTACTTAAATAAAAATGAAAATTCATTTTGTCCTTCATGTAAATAATCAATGGGAAAAAAAGACGTCATCCATTGATACGTAAACTTTTGAAAATGATTGATTGATTGATTGTTATAAAAAGAAATTATTTGATGCTAATCTGATCGATGATTCAATTTTTCGAATCGATAGAAATCTAATGATATTTCAATCAATGAATTTTTGTTATATTTTTATTTTTTAAATGTGAACATATGACTTTTACATATGTTTCGAAATGATGATAAAATTGAATAAAATGATCTGATTATAAATAAGAAATGCACCAGAAATTATTGATACATGTCTTTAAAGAGTGATGCACGTTAATCAAGTGCATCAATTTTTTTTCTTTTACTACTTTCATTACTTTTATCGATTCGAAAATATTAATTTCGCATATTTGTAAATTTTCTTATTATTAAATAATGAATAGTCTTGTTTTTTCATTTTCTCAAAAACCAAACGTTACAATTCAAAATTTTATTCAGTACAGTTATGTGTGGGAGAAACGATTAACAGGTAACAGGAATTTCCTTTAGGAAATTCAATCAACACCAAACGGTTTTGTTTATGTTAATTCGATGATGACATCGACAACGAAAATGAATTTAAAGTAAAAATGAATGAGAAAAAAATCAAAAATTCACGGCCATAATATTGATAAAGCAAAAAAAAAAATTTCCTCAAAAAAAAATCTTATCAAAATTTTCTCAAAAAATCCATCTTGTCTTTTTTATCATTTAATTTCATCGATTTTTTTCTTGTACTTTTCATTTAATGATTTCTTACGTAAGCAACTGAATCAATGACGATTGATTTTGCGTGTGTATGGATAATTAGTGTTACTAATGAATATATCGTTGATTCATTGCAGATATTTCAGTTCTTTTTTTTCATTTTTTCCATTTGTGTCATATCGCGAATTAGTTATAACTTTATCACAGTGGGTAACATAAATGATGAATCAAAATTCATAGATGAAAGAAAACATAAATTGACAACATAAAAATTTTATGATGGATTTTTCCATGGAAAAAAATGTAGGATAGCAAAAAAAATAAATAAAAGTGCTTGCGATTTTACAGGATATTAATGTAAATACACATTTAGATAAATCAAATCATATGATGATTCGAAAATGAATTTTTTTTCTTTCATTCGCTATATACTCTTTATTTGTCGATCGATTGGGTTTTTTCGCAAGCCAACAAATCGTTTGGTTCTTGGACAATATTGACATGGATTATTGAAAAAAAATTTTGATTTTCAATGGCCATCTTTCAGAAAGAATATTTTTGAAAATGCAAAATTTTTATTTTATTCGGTTGTTTCTTTTTGTCCCAATCAATTATTGAATAATAAATCAATAGATTTCATTCAATTAAGTAACAGTTAATTAGAATATGAATTGGATCGTCGATTTCAAAGTGAATAATTTTGGTGAAACAAGAAAAAAATATTTTCACATATGTCAATAATTGTTGTATAAAATCTAATTTGTGAATGAATATAAAATAAATTCTTATGATAATACTATTTGCGTGTGTGTATGTGTCGGAGGTGAGTTCACAGGTAAAAATTTGAATATGATGAATGAATTGAATTAAAAGCGGCACAATTGTGAACAGGATGATAATGCATGTGGGATGAAGATCATTCATAGGTTTCTGAAAAATCAATAATGTCCATTGGTTGTGTTCATTTTCACATTATTTGATATATCGGTCGTTGCTGATATTTTCGATTTGCATATACTATTATTATTATCATCATTTCCTTTTAAATTTTCCGGATCATTATTAACGTTATTGACATTGTTATCATTAATCCCCGATTTTAAGTCGATTTGACCATTTTCTTTTGTTATTGTTTGTGATGGTGATGTTAATACATCGCCTGACTCACGTAATAATGCACTTAATTTACGCCGTGATTTTTTTCCATTTCGACCATCACTATTAGTACGATTTGTTTTTGTGACATTTTCATTTGCAGATTCATCACTAGATGAAATCGATCCACGATGACTGCCAGAAAGTTGCCGAACACCGCCAATACCTAATCTGGTTGGTGATTCCAAACGACGAGACAATTCAAACATAGAATATTCTGGATCATCAGTCACTTCACGTACAATATTCAAAAATGCTGGCAATTTAGCTTTAAGCGCTTGACCACTCAATGTTGTATATGCTTCTAATAGTATGAGACCGTTACGTGGAGCTTGATAAATGTCCATCTGAAAATAGGTCTGCTGCCAAAGGAAACAACGGCGTGTTTTGTAAATAGTATGATGATTATCATCACGTTGTGCCAATAATGTCTATATAATGTCAATAATTAGTAATTATAATTAAACTAGCACGCTGACATACCACATAATCACGATGAGTAATTTGCCTACGCAATTCAACCATTTGGGATCCAGCATCCGATCGACGGACTGTTTGTTGATAGCTCCAATTTCCATTTTGGCCACGTTTCCGTATACGTGATTGAATCTTCGGATTTGATGTGATCAAGTAATCATGCACAACATCAAAATCTTGATAAGGTGGCATTGATATCGATGATGGCGACGGTGGTGGTCCATTGACCAGAAATTTAATTTTATGTGATTCATCTTGCAAACGATCGCTTGCTTCAATTCCTATACGACGACACAAAGCCTAAAGCATTTTTATGTTTAAAATAAAATTTTCAATATGAAAAATAACAAACCGAAATCATTCGCCTCATTTTTGTATCAAAATCGGTCGAATTATCAATAACATCCATATATGGATGGCCAACCCAGGCTTCCATTGTTTTTCGATCCATTTCTCTAGCTAATTCAAGACCTTCAGTACGTACAGGATTGCCTTCAATATTATAGTATTCTTCAGCACCATCAGCAGATGTAACCAAATGGATCACCTGATTATAACGATTATCACGCAGATCAACAGTGTTCCATTTATTTGCACGTAAAAATCGTTGCCAACATTCATCAGACATGTCTATCATTGAGTGCAAAATAAACAATCAAATCGATCAATTTCAATCAATTTGATTAATATGCAAAAATATCGATACATACATGCTGTAGCATCCATTACACCGCGATCACAAATGATAAGACAATTACGTTTACAAGTCTGAGCTAATGTAAAAAATGTTCGCTCGATCGAGATCATGACTTTTATAAGATTTTCTTGGAATTTATCCGCTAAATTCAAAAAATAATAATAATAAATAAATCATAAGAATGAATGAAGTTTACCAGACATACCTTCATCTTTATTCAATTCAGGAAAACGGATACCGCCACTGTGTCGTTTTCATGTTTTTCATCAATAACAAATAAACAATGATCGTTATAAATATTTTCAAAAAATTGATGATAATTACCTGAATAAAGTGGTAGCCGTTTCTGGTACACGATAAACCTATGTAAGAAAAACAAATAAATAATTATCCGATCGAAATGAAATTTAAAAAAATTTGACATTGAAAACAATGATACTACCAAAGAATTTCAAATCTTCACTATTTTTTCTGTATACAGACTAACAGAGAAAAAAAATCGAATAATTATAACTATGTCATGATAGAATGAATTATAATTCGACTATTGCGTGATTAATCATAATAACATCAGAACATTTTGGAATTGGATTAAAAAAATTGTTATTATCATCATTATAAAATGACTCAAATAATAATTGCAATGTAATTTGATATTTGTATGAACCCATTTTTGGCGGATTCTGTAATAAAAATCGTACTCGTCGTTCATTCAATAATTGATGTACTAAGTCAATGAACGTCGATTCAATTAACAAATTTTCTCATGAATATCATTAAACACAGACACACATCAATCTTAAGTTTGAAATTCTAATTAGAATCAAGGTCAACTAGGTAGATCTGTATATTGATACGAACAAAAAAACTAATCGATATTTGTAATCACACATTTTCAAATGCTTAGCAACCAATAAAATTTGAAATAAAAGTGATAAATAAATTAACCATGATTAAATTGGTTTTTTTACAATTCCAGTATCGATCAAAATAAAAAAACTTACCTTCCAACCAAGATTTTCAAAAAATGTCGATATTCTTGCCTGACCAGTTGTTTTACCACTGCAAGGACCTGAATGTTTTTTCAACACAAATTGTCTTTTATAAAAGAAAACAAATCATCAAATATCAGAAAAAAAACTTACCACCAGTCAAAGCTAATCGATAGACAATATGATCGGAATTTGGATGATCACAAGTATTATGATTGATAATACTGTGGCTATTTCCATTTGATGTGATTGTCTGATTAATCATTGATAAAGGTGGTGGTGATGGAGGTGATGATGTTTGTAATGGATCCAACATTAATGATTCAATACGTCCACTACCATCGGTAGTTGGATTACCTTCCATCGGATTTGTATTTAAATTCATTTTATTATTCTTCATTTCTGTTGAACCGGTTATTTTGATTTGATTGATTAAAATTTTGAATGATAATTTATAGGACAATATGCAAAACAGAACAAAAAAATTTGACGAACAAATCAGAAATAACAATGTTAAATTGAAACAAAAATCTGGTTAATTGATAGTGTAATCGATAATTGATTTGTGATAATCAATCTATTTTTACCCATTCAATATAAATGATATGAAATGCGGAAAGGAAAAAAATTATTAATCAATAATTATTATGATAAGAAATTAATCTAATTCGGAATTTACCCAAAACAAATAGCCGACAGACAGAAAAACAAACAAACAAATAAACAAACAGGAAATAGTGGATGGTAAAGAAAAATAAAACAAAATTCTTTTTTTGTATTGTTGTTAACGTTGATGATGGTTAATGTGGAGATGGATTTTTTTTCTTTTGTTGGAAAAAATATTGATGTGTCAAAAGTATGCGTTAATATTCAAACAGGTACTTGAGAAATAATAATAATTAAAAAAAATTATCAACAATTTAGGCACTTTTCAAATGTGTTATATGTTGTGTGATTTTGTTTTTTTCTATTCATTTTTGTTGTTGTCTACGATCAAAATAATGTTACATATGATTGTTGGTCGGCTAAATACTAAATCTAACAAACAAAAAAAAAACTAAATTATAATTCAATGTTGATCAATACGATGATGGATGACAAGCTCTTTTTCAAGCAATTCATTTGGGGATTATTGATGGTAAGAAAGGATTGATAAAACATTCTGTATTCAAGAGAAAGAGAAAAAAAATTCAATTTTAGAAAAGGTAGGCAGAAATCAAATTTGACAAAAATGAAATGAAATGAAAGAAAAATTTCATAAACACAACTGATATCGAAATTGAAAATCAAATTTAAATGTCAAAACTAGATGAAACTAAAATATTAATTTTATAATCTGATTTTTGGTTTTCTCCAACTCGATAGTGATTCACATAAACAAACATTGAACAAAATAAATTTTTTAACGATCAATTTTTTCCAGTATCGTAAGAACGGGCTTCATACATCTATAGTTTTTTCAAATTTTTTTTTTGTACATGAGGATGGTCATGTATCATCATCCTCAGCATTTAATGATGATTTTTTTTAATTGAACAAAAAAAAATGTCGCTTTACTTTTTTCCACTATCATTCTATCATCATCATCATCGTAATTTCAAAATCATTTGAGAGACATGAAAGAAAAAAAAAATGTAAAATTCATTTAGCAAAATCAAACAGAACAGAAATTCGAGCATGATTCTAAATGTTTTGAATGATGATATCTGGCAATCACAAAAAAATAATAAATTTAAAACATTCTGGTAGAAACAAAAACGAAAAATCTATGTTTTAATTGATAAAATACTTGCTTGATATAGAAGCTTGATGATGATCATTAATTACGATAAAATAAATCATTAACTATAAATTTGATCGATATTATTTGAAAAAATAAACGATGTTAATGATAATGATGACGTTATCAAATTCATAATGGAATATGATTGAATCAGGAGAAAATTATCAAATAAAAAAATCAATCAGAATATTTTTAGCTCTCATCTTTCACAGTATCAGTACGAAACATGGTTATTAACATTGAATTTGTGTTCATTTGAACATTTAATAAAATGAATGGAAAGATTTTGGATGATTATCAAATGAATGTCTGGAATATATTATTAAAACTATTTAAAAAAAAAGTTCAAGCATGTTTGATCTTATGATGTCTCGTATTATTTATAATGATGATTATGATGGAACGATTCGGAAATTCAACCCGTATAGCATCTGCGCTATTGAATCTACAAATTTTTCTTTCCTGAACAATAACAACAATAATGATCATCAAACAAACCATGTCAACCAAAACAAAAACAAACATTCAATGAGTCTTTGATAGATTATATCAGTAAGATCAAGAAATTATTGTAACTAGAGGCCGGTTTTTGTTATTGAATCTATGCACAATTATATCATATAGATTTTATGAACAAAGACGGACTTGAAAAGAATCGATCGTTTTGGTTGGTTCATTACCATGCTTTTTGGCAAAAACTTTTGTTAGAATTCTATATAGCTGTAAAGACATTTTGAATCATATAGAATATGAAAGCGGTTGTATTTCTGTAAGAAAACGGTAGAAAAAAAACAAAAATTTAATGAAAGTTTATATTTTGCGAATGAATATGAAATTAAGAGATTGATGATTCGACGAAAAAAAAAGAGATTTATAAATGTAATCGTACATCTGAATTTTAACAACTAAATTGGTAATAATTTTTTTTATGATTGAATTTCCGAAGAATGATTTCAGGAATTAATAAAAGCAGCAATGTAGGTGTATTCTCAAGAAATGATTCGAAGTGAAAGAGGAAACCAAAATGTGAATCAAATCATCATTAGTTTTATTTGGAAATAAACGATAATATCACCATCTATTGATGTGAGGTGGAAAATGCGACAAACTTTTTTAGTTTTGTTGAATCGGGTTGTTTCGGATATTTTTTTGATAAAATTGTTGTAAAAAGAGTTCCAAAAAAATAAAACATAAAAAATTTAAATAAAAATCGTTTTCGACTTTTATTTGATGTTTAGCTCAAGTTTCCATTCAAGATTTTTCTTTTTGTCTTTTCATTGTGTGATTCATAAGAACAAACGAAATGTTCATGTCTGAAATTATACGATTCTAAATTTAGAATCCAGGAGGCGAAAATCTTCATTGAATGAATTATAATTCTGTTATATGTGTGTGTGTTGGCTGACATTTTGGAAATCTGAAATGATTTTTTTTATATTTTATCAGTTAAAATATCTGAATAACAATAGACAAGGTACATGTCAAGGTTCGAATTTTTGAAAAGAGAATTGTTTGATTCGCTTAAATGAATAAAATTTTTGAAAGAGAAAATGTCATTTCATCATTGAAATTTTTCGATGTTTATTTTTCAAGGTTTTTTCCCTATATTTGCTCAGAACCAATAAGAAAACAAAAGACATTCGAACAAAAAAAAATGTTATGTGAATTCTATTGATTTGAAAACAAACAATTCAGCTATTGGATAAAAAAACATACAACTGATAGATATCGGTAATGCATTTTCTTTACCTTTACTGTATTTGATAATGTATCAAACATCTGCATTACATGAAATCTTTTTCAATATTGATAAGGATGATATCAAAATAACTGATATAAAATTTCTGATATTTTTAGATGACACACGACATACAGAAAAAACAACAACACATCACTACATATACACATCAATTGATATTTTAAAAAATAAATGATAATTGAAATAAAACTAAAAACAATTAAAACGTTTGATAGATTAATTTATAACAATGATGATGAATATGATCATCATAACAGTGGATGGTGATGGCAAAATAAAATTGATAATAATTATTCATTAATGATAATAACATTGTTGCCGATTGATGATGATGATAATGATGATCTGGTTTTTAATTTTGGCGCAATATTAAACAAGGATTATCATTAGAAAAAAAAATTTCGATAAACGATGTATGTTTTTTTCCTGTTTAAAAAACAAATGAAAATTCAAGATAAAGATTTTATCAATTACATTGATAAAACATTGAATGAATAAAATGCAGATCACATTTTTTTTTCATAACATTTAACAAAAAACGGATATTGTAAATCCATACCCGAATCCCTATTATCGGCATTTATTTGAACACATGTATTCGATTGCTAGCAGTAAAATGATTGGATACTAACTATCTTTGAATTATGCTACTTCTTCGGAAAGAATACAGGTGTATTGTGTATAGATTGTGTCCATCCATCAAACTATCTTCTGTTCCATTCGCTACTACTATTTTGATTAACGAAAAAAAAAATTCTCACATCTTTTTCCTCTTCCAAATAGTAGTGGTATTCTTTTCAGCAATCCAGAAAAAAAACTCAAAAACAAGAATCCTTTTTTTGATTTATCGATACCAAAAAAGTATACCACTACCATATAAATGATATTATTCATTTCGAAAGAAAATATAAAATGTGGGAAAGGAACTAACAACAAAAACACGATGACCATGCATGTTGTGTATGTTTTGTATCATCTTGCATACATGCATGTGATGAATATACCACACCAAATAGTGATTAAACAGCGTGTTCTTTCATCACATCATCAACATTATTTTTTTCTAATTATCATAGGATCGAATCCAAAAAAAAGAAAATTAAAAATTAAATACTCCTACGAAACTATTCCAAATCTTTTTTCTGTTCATTTAATCACTTTTTTCAATGATAATATATCCGAATATAAATATTACAAGTGTATTACATCATTTTTTCACCGTTGTATTGTTTTTTTCTGGTGGTTGTTTTGTTTCCGAAAAGGATTAAATAATTGTTGTCATTATGATGGATAACAATATTCATCATAGTAATAATGATGATGATAATAATTTTCAACAAATGAAACAATTGTCACCATCAATGACAACTACCACTGATATTCTTTCAGCCGCATTAGATGAATGTGGTCTTGGTGATTTTTTCGCGAATCCCGTATGTGTTTTTTGTTTATTTGTTCAGATATTCAATTGTAATTTGTAATTGATTGATTATTTTTCTATTCAAATACAGATTGTTCATGATGATCTAACAAATTCATTACCAAATTCACCAGATAATTTTGCAACCATTGCCAATAATAATGAGATGATTATCGATAATGGTAACGATCATCAACAATGGCAACCGCAATCATCATTTAATGATGAACTATCTCTGCCATCGAACACAACTTTGTCATCAACATCACCATCATTATATGATCATTCCGAATTAAATAATCAAGAACAATTTTCAACAAATTCATCATCATCACAATCCATTAGTTCAAATAATCAAATGTCAACGGTTAAAGCAGCCATTATTCCTATTAAATCTGCAAATACATCGATCATAGATGGCCAGCAACAACACCAACAGCAACCATTACTTGTCAAGGTTTTTTTAATATTTTTTGCATATTCAAAAATATTAATATTAATGTTTTATCGATTACATTTAGAAAATTCAACGATATATTTTAACGAAAAGTGATCAACAACCACGTCTGATAGCTACACCAGTATCTACTTCTGCTCAGAATTCTAATGCTCAGTCAATAAATCGTTCGATAACGAGCATTTCAAATCCGAAAATTATTATCGCTTCTGGACAACAACAATCCACCCCGAACACAATTACAGCGAACAATATAAATACGAATATGATATTGAATGATATAAGTAATCAGAAAAAATTGACCATTTCACCGAATGTTAATGGTACAATCAAAATTAATGTTACAACACCGCCATCAACTCCTACAACGACGTCTATGACAATAGGAAATGGTCAACAAACACAAATGATTCGTTTATCAGATTTGCAGTCAGCCGGTATCCGTTTAGCAAATAATAGAATAATTTTACGACAGCCATCACAACAACAACCTCAAATTATGCGTGCAGCAAATGCACAAAATGTGATACGAATCCAGGTAACATCATCGCTTAACAATTCAACACAACAACAAATAATGAATCAACAGCAACCTACAACAGTTCGCCCACAAATTTGGGTACCAAATGCATCATCATCATCATCAACATCGGTCATGACGAATGGAATAAATAATAGTAATCAACTGAAAAAAACACAGCCTAGAATCAATATACAAACAAATGGTACTCGATCTCTACAATCAAATTCAACACCAAATTCAATTTTAGATATGAATAGTAATCCAACTACACCGAGAACACCATTAACTCCATCAAAATCATTGTCATTCGAAAATAAAGATGATGATCAATTAGAAAAAGATATTAGACTTAGTGAAGAAATGCGACGATTACTTGAAGATCATGAAGAAGAATTGGCCAATCTAGAAACTTTTGCTGATTATATGCCGACTAAATTGAAAATCGGGCTTCGACATCCAGATCAAGTGGTTGAAACCAGTTCATTGGCATCAATTCCACCACCTGATGTATATTATCAGCTTATGATTCCCGATGAAGTTATCGATGATGGCCGTTTATCAGCACTGCAATTAGAATCGATAATCTATGCTTCACAACAACATGAAAATTTTCTTCGTGATGGATCACGTGCCGGTTTCCTGATTGGGGATGGTGCCGGTGTTGGTAAAGGTCGTACTGTAGCCGGTATAATATATGAAAATTATCTACATGGTCGTAAACGTGCCTTATGGTTTTCGGTATCGACCGATCTCAAATATGATGCTGAACGTGATTTACATGATATTGGCGCCAGCCGTATCGAAGTTCATTTGCTCAACAAATTCAAATATGGTATCAAGATACATTCACCAGATAATGATAATGTAAAACGTGGTGTCATATTTTCTACTTATCATTCATTGATTGGTGAATCAACTAGTATAAGTGGACGCTTTTCTACCCGATTTCAACAATTGTTACAATGGTGTGGTGAAGATTTTGATGGTGTCATCATTTTTGATGAATGTCATAAGGCAAAAAATCTATTTCCAAGCGGCACAACGCGAGCTACAAAAACTGGGCAAGCTGTCCTTGATCTACAACGATGTCTTCCAAAAGCACGTGTTGTGTATGCTAGTGCAACTGGTGCGACTGAACCAAAAAATATGGGATATATGACTCGTTTAGGTATATGGGGACCTGGTACACCTTTTGAAGATTTTAATCAATTTGTTGCTATGGTCGAAAAAAGAGGAGTTGGTGCAATGGAATTGGTGGCCATTGATCTGAAAATGCGTGGCATGTATATGGCAAGGCAATTATCATTTAAAGGTGTTCAATTTCGTATTGAGCATGTACCTTTATCCCGTGAATTCATACGAATCTATAATTGTTGTTGTCGACTATGGGTATCGGCAAAGACAAAATTCGAAAAAGCACTTGAATTAATGGAAGCCGACCCACAAGTAAGCAAAGCAATATGGACACAATTTTGGGCATCACATCAAAGATTTTTTAAATATCTTTGTATTGCATCCAAAGTAAAATTTGCCGTTGCATTTGTAAAGGAATCATTACGTTGTGATAAATCAGTTGTGATTGGTCTACAATCCACAGGTGAAGCACGAACATTAGAACAGCTGGAAGATAATGGCGGTGAATTGAATGATTTTGTATCGACAGCTAGATCAGTGTTTCAATCATTAGTTGAACGACATTTTCCAGCACCAAATCGTAAAAAATTGGCCAAACTATTGGGACGTGATACAAGTTTTTTTGATGATTTGGGTATCAAATTAAAACGTGATGCAAATGATGAAATAATTGCATCAATCAGTGACGATGATAATGATGAAATGATGAGTCGAGCCAAAAGACCAAGTGGTCGTAGTTTTTTCGATAGCGATGATGACGATGATTTTGTCGAAGTTTCAGATGTAGAAGAAAATGACGATGATGATAATGATGATGATGACGATGAAGAAGATGATAAATCAAATGATAGTGATAGTGATATTGATCTTGATGAAATCGATGATATTATGGATGAAAAACTTGGCCTAAAACCGGGGGGAAAACCAAGCGCATCCTTAAAATTCATGGACATTCTATTGGGACCATCATCATCGACCAATGGACGCAAACGAAAACGTAAAGCATTATCCAAACGCCGTCAGAAACGTATTCGTATGCAGCAACAACAAAAACGACGACAAAAACAACTACAATCAAAAAAATCGTTGAAGAAAAAATATGAAAAATATTATAATGATTTTAATAATGTTGGTTCCGATATTGGTGGCTATTGTGAAATGTTGAAAAATGAATTACTTGAACAATTAGAATCATTTGGTGAAAGATTACCGCCCAATACATTGGATGAATTGATCGATGAATTAGGTGGACCAGAACAAGTGGCCGAAATGACTGGCCGTAAAGGCCGTATTGTCAGTAAACAGGATGGTCAAGTGCAATATGAAGCGCGAAGTGAAAATGATGTTTCGTTGGAAATGTTAAATCTTGTGGAGAAACAACGATTTATGGATGATGAAAAACGTGTGGCTATCATATCGGAAGCAGCAAGTTCCGGTATATCATTACATGCTGATCGTCGTGCACTAAATCGTTGTCGTCGTGTTCATCTAACTGTTGAACTTCCATGGTCGGCTGATCGTGCCATTCAACAATTTGGCCGTACACATCGATCAAATCAAGTTTCGGCACCAGAATATGTTTTTCTTATTTCAAATCTGGCTGGTGAGAAACGTTTTGCATCGATTGTTGCGAAACGTTTAGAAAGTTTGGGCGCTCTCACCCATGGTGATCGTCGTGCTACCGAATCAAGAGATTTATCACAATTTAATATTGATACAAAATATGGCCGTCAAGCATTAGAATTCGTAATGAAATCTATTCAAGGTAGTAGTGGCTTGAAACCATTAGTTTCACCACCAGAAAATTATTCAGGTAATGATTTTTTCGAAGATTGTCGAATTGGTTTAGCCGGTGTTGGCCTTTTAACTATTGATCGTAAAACTGGTAACATTACATTAGATAAAGGTATGTGTGTTATTAATTTACTATTTTTTTAATTGGATTCATCTAATCTAAATTTTTCTCAGATTATGCTAATATAAATAAATTTCTAAATCGTATACTTGGTCTGGAAGTGGAATTACAAAATTCATTATTTCGTTATTTCAATGATACCATGGATGCAGTAATCAAAGGAGCTAAACGTAGTGGCCGTTATGATTCGGGTATCATTGGTATGTATTGTGTCTAAGAATTTCGATAAATTTATTAATTTTTCTTATTGATAATAGATCTAAGTAATGAAGTTGGAAATGTACGAAAATTAGATCAAGAAAATTTCATTTTAAAATCTTCATCAAGAGCTGTTAAAATTCAATTACATACAGTTTCGGTTGATCGTGGTCTATCGTTTGAACGTGCTGATAATCTTCGGAAACAGGCATTGGATGAGGAAAATTATTTTAAAGATGAAATCGGTTATTATGTTTCAAATTCGGTGAGTAGTATTCTTCTTTTTGAATTTTTTTCTAATCTAATTGTTTTCCAAACAGACATATCAGATTCGTAAGACAATATTTTTGGCTATACCGGAAGAAAATCCACAAAAAAATAAAGATATGAAGCAAATATTTCGTATTTATAAACCATCTCTTGGTTTACAAGCAAAATATGAAACAAAAAGTTCATTAAAAGAACGTGGACAAAAATTGAACGATGTAGAACAGGCGGCCAAATTTTGGAATGAACATTATGAAAAATCTGAAAATGAATGTACACATTCATTATTATTTGGTCGTTGTCGTTCATCAATGATGGCAATGAAATCATCATCAACAACAAAAAATTGTTGCGATGTTGGTATTCGTAAACGTACATATTGTGTATTATCCGGTGCTGTTATGACAGTATGGCCTGAAATTGAAAAATCCATTCCACAAATTCTTAATCATAAATTACAAGTCGTTCGATTAAAAACCGAAGATAATCTTAAATATATCGGTAAGTTTTTTTTTATTTATAGAATTTTAAATTAAAATTATCAATCCAAATATTTAAACAGGTCCATTGATTCCACCAATGTATGTGGATGAAGTAAGAAAATGTTTGAATCGTTTGGCTAATGGTGGACAATCATCAAATTGATCATATCATTTTTTTCAATTATGAAACTTTTTTTTTCTTTTGATTCATCATCATCGTATACGAACATCTATTACTTTTTGTATTTTCCTTTCAAAATAGTGTGATTGAATTTCTTTTTTAACATTTTGATCTATATTCATTGATTTTCCTAGTCCATAATTAATTACACACAAAGGTTTATTTGATTCCACGTAGATATCATCATCATCATCATCAATAATTATCCGAATTTTCATTTTACATTTGTTTTTTCTACTTTAAATGTACTAATCTTTTTTATGTAAGAATCAAAAAACATAAGAAAAAAAAGCTATTAAATTTATCAATCAATCATCCGATTTATTTTTTTCTTTTCCTTCATTACATATAATTTTGTTATTATTGTTAAATAATGAAAAAAAATAAGAATAAAAAATTTAATTTTTCTTTAATAAAAATTTTGAATACGAAATTCTTGCGCCATGATGAAGATATGAATATCTTGATTCTGTATGATGTATAGAATATTATCATCGTTAATCGAGATATTACTGTATAAATTGACAAGCAAATGCTAACAGCAACGAATTGAATGAAAATGATAGATTCTCAAACCATAAATAAAATGTGAAGGGATTCACAATTTTTTTTCTTACACAATTCAATGCTACTACTCATCTCTATTTTTTTTCAATCCAACGATCCTTTTTTCTCTCATAAACATACCAACAAAAAAAAAGATTCGAATCCTTATTTTTTACTCTGTTCTTTTTCTTCTTCTTCTTCTTCATTTTTTTTGGATTTGGTCATGCTACTCTTTCTCGAATGGATTCTCAGCCTTATTGTTAAAATTGTGGCGTCTGTATATGAACGGTGATGATGATGGTGTTAATGATCCAAATTCATTCTTATTATTTTGTTCAATGATCCTTTTTTTTCTCTCCAAATCATAGTTGTAGTGGTGCGCCAGGTGATATTCATTTTTTTCTGTTGTTATTTGTTGTTGTTGTTGTTATCGTTTTCATTATTTGTCATTATTATTTTTTCATATATACGAATTCAACGATTTGGGGTGTGTTTCATCGATTCTTTCAATGTTGATCCTATTGGAGAAAATGAAAGATAATTCCCTTTTGAAAAACTTGCCCATTATTTTCAATTTTTATCATTTTCATTTTTTTCGATAATAAAATTGTGCATGTGTCGATTCTGTGGGTGTATTTGCGTATGTATGTAACACTCATAAAATGAATCGGGGCAAAAAAATCCCAGAATATTTATTCAGCAGTTCAACGACAACATAAACAAAGAATCGCTATACATCATATAGCTGAACAACATTAAAAACGCTCAATAAAAATCATTTGGATTTTGACTCGAATGGTCATCCATTATCAAAAACTTTCTTTATTTTTTGTTGTTTATGTTTTTCACATTATCCAAAATTATTTGCATCATCTGAAGTTGTGGAAAATTGATGAATTCTTTGTTTGTTTTTTTTTTTTTTTTTTGCCAATGGTATCATTTCAATTTTATTATACATTTTCTAAATCGGTTTGTTGTTTTTATTTAATTTTCTAA